AGACTCCCAGAAAAGTAAAAACTCAGCCGTCTCACCTAGAAGCAGCTTCCCTCATTGCCTTATATGTCACCTTTCTCCACCTCTTTTTGACTCCTTCTGTGCTCATCTTCTTTCTTCTTTCTTCTATGTCTTTTCCTTCAAATTCTCTCTTTTCCTACATTTTTCTTTGACTTCCTTTTTCAAAATTTTATTATTTATTTGTGACTTTTTTTACATTTAGCTCCAAATTCTCTCTCTTCCTCTTCTTGTTTGACTTTTAATGATTATGATTTAATCAGAATTTTCTGGTGAACAACGACTCATCTTTACCTTATGAAGGAAAACTCAAGAAATCTACCTTTCTGTCAAATATCACCACGATAGTCCTTATGTAATTTTTCTGTAGTCCCCCAAACGTTATTTAATTTATAAGAATTTTTTTTCAGTTATAACCTTCAAAACTCTAAAAGTTATCAGTTGCAGATGACCTAATGGTTCACAATACCCTTAAATTTGTTAATGTAGTCATTATCCTGCCTTCAAATAGATCTCAGTATCTTCATCTGAGGGGCAGTTCTCAATCTGTTGCTCAGAATAGTCTAAATCTCTCCTAAAAATTTTATCTGAGAGGTTGTGTTTCTTCTCAATCTGATTTCGCCACTTTCTAAAGTTTTCTCCAGCCTTAGCCTTGCTATTGCCTTCACCATTAGAAATTTCAGTACTCTTAAAAGCCATGTCAAAGTAGCATTTCTGTGAGGCATCCCTTTGTTTTTATTGCTTTGGGGGGAGGGGTCACCTGCACTGAGGATGAAATGGTTATGTCACAAATTATTAAAATGTTTGAAGCAAAAAAAGTTCTTTTTCTGTCCCTTTTCTGAAACCAAAATAGCCTTGTGCAAAGGGCTTTACCTCACTAAAGTCTGGCAATAACATGGGCATAGAGAAGGATGATGAAAAAATGATACTGGAAAAAATACGTTTCAAGATCAAGAAACAGAAGAGGCTAAAGGCTTGTAGATGACTCAGAGTTGTCAACTCTATTCAAAAATAGCAGCAATAATAACAACAACTTATGTGCATGTAGAACTTTCAATTTTACAAAGCACTAGTTTCATAACAACCCTAAAATATTGGTTGCATATATTTCATGGTCCTTATTTTACAGATAAGGAAACTGAGGCTTGGAATTTTAAGTCACTTGTCTATGGTGACATCACTGCTTTGCATGTAGATTAAGAATGAAGTCATCTAGTCCAATTTCCTCATACCACTGTGAATACAAAATCATTAGATGAAATGGGTCACATAAACCGAGACCCATTGACTGACATGACTAAGGCCATAAAGGTAGGAAGTAGCTAAAACAGGATTTGAACCCTGATCCTCTGACTCCATATTCTTCATTATTTTCAAGGTATAGGCCTCCTGCCTCCAAGTCTAGCGCTTTGTCTACTATACTACACTTCTCTTTTAACAAATGTTTCATAACCATTCCATTTTCCCACCTCCAAGTCTGTCCCATGCCTAGAATGTACTCTCTCCTCACCTTGGCCTCTTAGATTCCCTGGTTTTCCTCAAGATTCCGACAAAGTGTCACCTTCTATATGAGACCTTTCTTGGAACCCCCAGGTGCCAATATGTCTCCCCCTCATCCCCTGCCAGCACCCCCAGTAAATCAGTCAACTAGCTTTCATTAAGTACCTATGTATCAGGCATTGTGCTAAGCTCTGGGGCTACAAAGAAAGTTAAAAAAAAAGTCCTCTCTCTTGAGATGTTCAAAGGTTAATAATTGAAACAACTATGTATGAACGAGATGTCTACAACAGGGCTTCTTAAACTTTGTCCACTCACAAACCCTTTACACCTAAGAAATTTTTATGCAACCCTCGTATATAGGTATATAAAATAGGTATACAGATCAAACATTTACTGATAATAAATCACAAAGAAATTTATTTTAAAACAATTTTTTGGTATATATGATTTTACTATTTATTGAAGACAAAAACAAATTTGCATGCTAATGAGATAGATGTGCTTTTTTATTTTTACATAAAGAATTAAATCATGGTGGAATATTTAATACTGCAGGACATAGAGCACTTTCAACATTTTTCATAATTGATCGATATTTTGATTTTATGATTATCAGGGCTGAGAATGCCACTTCATATAAATATGTAGTACTAAATGGCAGAGTATGTTTAGGGCCATTTCCGAAATTGTTGGAAATTATGTCCTGATCTCAAGCCAAAATTCATCTAATGAGTTTGTATGCACAATAAAAACACTGCATTTCATTACATACAATAGTCTTGAATCTGAGCCAAGGTGTTTCTAGCAGGTTCATTGGCATTGCATGGCATGATTACATGAGCAGTGCAAAGTGCACGTATTGTGTGTTCAGAACCACGGCTGCAGTGAAGTTGTGGGATGCAACACGGACAAGTGCTGTTAGAAACACCTCGGATTCATTATGCACTTAATTTTGAGTTAATTTTTAGCCTTTGTGCTTTCAGAAAACTTTTGCTATTGCCACATTTTTTGTGACCCCCAAATTCAGTTATGTGGCCCCCATGTAGGGTTGCAACCCAGAGTTTAAGAAGTGCTGGTCTACAGGATGCATCCTAAAGACAAAATAGACGTTTACAGATGTGGACAAAGACTTCTGGAATACCTTATGTATGTACAGGATAGAACAGAGAAGATCTCTGAGGGAAGGGACTACAATTGAAGAATGGGAAGGGCTTCTTATAGAAGATGAGACCTTAGCTGCAACTTGAAGAGAACCAGAGAGGACAGGATGAGGAAGGAGAGAGTTCCAGGTGTGGAGGACAACCATGAAAACTCTGAATATCTGGGGCAAGGGGTAGCTCAGAACCAGATTGCCGTGTTTCTGTTTTCATATTTTTAATAAATACTTTGTATGTGCATAGGTGTGCATTGTCTTCCCCGTGTAAGTTTCTAAGGGCTGGGGCCATTTTGCTCTTACTATACATCCCTAGCCTGTAGTGCCGCACCTAGAACAGAGTAGGGGATTAATAAGTGCTGATTGATTCTCTGATTGATCAGCTGATTGACGAAGGGAATCTGAGGAAGATACTTGTCATGGAAGGGAATAAACAGTCACCAAACAAGGAATTGATAATATTTTAATAGACAGGAAATGGCTACATACCAGTATGGGGGTTCATCCAGAGCCATCAATGTGTAGTCAGATCATTGACTGATCAGAGCAAAGGCCAAGAGCAACCCCAAATTGCAAAACAATTGATAACAATAAGAAGAGTCTCCCATCAATTATGAGTTACATTCAAACAGCCTATTTAAACAAGGTGCTGTCTCTGAAAGGCATTGCTTCTGATTACCACCATTGGAGTCCACTAAAATAATGCACACACAAATCACATATATATGTGTGTGTTGTATGTATATTTATATACAAACATAACATATACATACATATATGTGTCTATATGTGTATGCTTGCATACAGGTTTGTATATTCCAAATTTATTGCCATCTGGCTAGGCCTCTATAATTACATACTTTCATATATGTTGCTACAGTGTTCTTCCTCACTTTCTAGGTAATACTGTAACCCATGATATTTTCCCTACTTGGGAATCAACCTCTTTCTAAGAGATCTTGAAAACCAGTGCCTGAGTATCTTTAAAATTCTGTTGTTTCCAGCATAAAATTTTAGGATTCTCCTATATGTAACCAAAGTCACCACACTAAGAAAAGACAGATGAGTTAAATCAGTCAATGAAGAACATTTAAGTGCCCACATTCTTCCCATACTTGGCTAGGCACTGAGAGACACAAAAATTAAAAAAAAAAACCATGAAAGATCCTCTGTCCTCAAAGAGCATATATTCTGTGAGGATGAAGAAACATGTACACACACACACAGACACACACAACTTTTATTCACAAAGAGCTTACATTCTAATAGAGAAGACAAAAGTATATATATCCATATATGTAGATATATGGAGTTAGGTGGCATAGCAGATAGAGTGCTGGGTAGAATCAGGAAGACCTGAGTTCAAATCCAGCCAATGACACTTACTAGCCATGTGACCTTGGGCAAGTCATTTAACCCTCTTTGCCTCAGTTTCCTCATCTGTAAAATGGACTAGAGAAGAAAATGGCAAACCACTACAAGTATATGTATGTGTATACACATATGTATATAGTCAATATACATACAGGTACATGTATGTCTATGGATGTATAGACATATATATACACACACGCATATGTCTAGATACATGTACCTGTATAGACACATATATACCTGTGTATACATACATAGACATAGACATAGACATAGACATAGACATAGACATAGACATAGACATAGACATAGACATAGACATACAATCAATTAATAACCATTTATTAAGTGACTGCTATATTTCAGGCATTGTGGTAAGCACTGGAGATATAAAAAGAGGCAAAGGACAGTTCTTGCCCTCAAGGAGTTTACAATCTAATGGGAGAGACAATATGCAAACAAATGCATCCAAAGTAAGCTATGTACAGGATAAATAGGAAATAATTAACAGAGGGAAGGCCCTAGAGTTAAGAGGAGTTGGGAAAGGCTTCTTGTAAAAGGTAGAATTTTAGTTGGAACTTGAAGGAAAACAGGGAGGACAGAAGGCAGAGTTGAAGAGGTAGAGCAGGGAGGACAGTAAGAGAAAATGTCAGGAGCCAAGAGAGATGTGTGTGTATGTATATATATATATATATATATATATATATATATGTATGTGTGTATGTATATGTATAAATATGTATATATGGGCAGCTGGGTGGCACAGCAGATAGAGCACTGGGCCTGGAGTCAGGAAGACCTGAGTTCAAATATGGCCTCAGACACTTACTAGCTGTGTAACCCTGGCCAAGTCACTTCACCCTGCTTGCCTCAGTTTCTTTATCTGTAAAATGAGTTGGAGAAGGAAATGGCAGATCACTTCAGCATCCCTGCCAAGACAAACCCAAATGGGGTCACAGAGAGTGGGACACAACTGAAAATGACTGAACAAATATATGCATATACAGTGTAAATAGAAAATGCATAGTTACCAAGCATCTAAATACAAGGTGGCTTGTGAGAGAAATCATTAGCAAACGCCTGGAAGGAGGTAATGAGGAAATGCTTCATACAGAAGAAGATGAGACTGTACTGACGGAATAGGCTGAGGTCTTTAGACTGTGGAGAGCTCTGAAGTTCAAGCTGAGGAATTTTGACTTCATCCCAAAGCCAGGGGGGAGCCCCCGAAGAATCTTGAGCTGTGGAGTACCACGGGTCAAGGTGGAATTCTAAGCAGAGCCATGGGGCAGCAGCTGCGTAGAAAAGATGGAAGGGCTCTCGGTAGCTGCACAGACTGAAGCTTGCCTGGGGGTCTTCTGGGGATCCCCAAGAAAAGTGCAGGGTCAAGTCTACCCCAGTGGATCTCCCCCCACAGGAAATACTGTTGTTTCATCAATTTCAAGCAGGGCCTGAAATAGCAGAATGAGCCACTCTTTCTCCCCACACCCCGGGAAGTCTCCAGGCCGGTTTGGCAGACTCAGGCTGCTTGCATCTTGTGGAGATACTTTGGGCAGGCGGCCAAATTCGGGGGAAGGCTTCACCCAACGAAACTGTCCCTTTGGGGGCTGACCCGGAGTTGACCTTCCTCCTGCCCCGTCACTCACTCTTTGGGGCACAGGGACCCACCAAGCTCGCAGGCCTTTAGAACCCCACAGAAGGGGGTGGGGAGCAGGGCTGAGAAAGACCACCGGAAAAGGAGAAGGCTAGTGGAACTGGAGGCAGTATTTCCCTTACCAAATAATTGCTCTATTATTCAAACAGCAGCTATTTAAACAGGTCATTAAAGGGACAAAGGCAGTAATTACCTGAGGTTTTATCTGTGAATCTCAGGAGAATGTCAGAGCTACCTGAATGGTAACACTCTGGTAAGGCACCCAGGGTCAGATCTGCAGCAGGGAAGGTCTCCTTCTTCTTCCTCTGGGCCGAAGGGCTCACTTTTCTCTTCCATAGGTCAATTAACCAATAAACACTTATTAAGAGCCTACTGTGTGCTAGGCACCGTGCTAAATGCTGGAAATAAAAAAAGAGGCAAAAGACAGTCTCTCAAAGGACTTACAAACATGCAAACAAATAAATAAAGCAACTATATATGGGTTAAATAGGAAATAATTAACAGAGGGAAGGCATAGAATTAAAAGGAGTTGGGGAAGGCTTCCAGTGGAATATGGCATTTTCATTTTATTGTCTTAAGTTCAAAAGGAACTTTATACTCACCAGACTGTGAGTACCTTGAGGGCAAGAGCTCTGTTTGCCTTTTTCAGTATCTCCCTAGCACAGGATAAAGTGCTTAATAAATTCTCTTTGAGTGATTGATACTGTCTCCAATAATCCTCACAAGAACACTGGAAGCCAGTCAGTGGTATTATTATCCCCATTTGACAGATGCAGAGACTGAGGCTACAAGCTTGTGGCAGATCTGGGAAACCAGGCTCTCCTCACTCCAAATTCAATGTTATTTCTACTACAACACATTTGCATAGATAAGAATGAAAAGAGCTACATATCTGAAGACAGAGGACCTGAGTTTGAATCCTGACTCTTCCTCTTACTACCTCTGTGATCTTTAACCTCAGTTTCCTCATCTTGAAAATGACAACTTGGCCTTGTAAGACTGTAAGTCTATGGTTTACTGTGACCTTGAGTAAATATCTTCCCCTCTTCTGAGCCTCAGTTTACTTGTCTATAAAATGAGTGAGTTGGACTAGAAGATTCCTAAGGCTCTCTCTAGCTTTAGGCCCAATGATAGATATGCCCTGTGGATTCCTTCACCTGACTTATTTTTGTCTCTACTACCAGGGCAAGGTCACTTGGATCTGACTAAAAAAACAAATGGCAGGCTTTTCACATGACTGGACTCCACTAGGTATCTCAGAAATATTTGTTGACTGCTGAAATTTCAGGATAATTGGAATTCACAAATTCGTTGAAGAAATTGGGAATGTTTAGCCTGAAGAAGACTCAGGAGAGAGTTCTGTTTAATCAGATGGTCAGTCAATAAATGACAACTATATGTCAGGCACTGTGCTAAGCAATGGAGATACAAAAGAGAGGCAAAAAAATAGTCCCTGCTTTGAGCAAGGGTGGGGAACCTGCAGCCTCCAGGCCATATGTGGCCTTCTAGGTCCTCAAGCTCCACCCTTTGACAAATACAAACTTCACAGAACAAATCCCCTTAATAAAAGGCTTTGCTCTGTAAAACTTGGACTCAATCAAAAGGCTGCTCCCAAGGACCTAGAAGGCCACATGTGGCCTCAAGCCACAGGTGACTCACCCCTGGTCTAATGGATGAGGAAGGCCATTTGGAAAAGGTATTTAATTTATTCTATTCAGCCTCAGAGGACAGAATTATGAGCCCTGGGTAGAAGCTGCAGAGGTAGTTTTGGCCTTGATGTCAGGAAAAACTCCTTAAAACTGCCCCAAAGTGTGTTTCCTCTAAATAGAGGTCTCCAGGCAGTGGCTGGGCAACCATTTGTCAGCTCGGTTATAGAGAGGATGGGCTGGCCTATATGGCCTCTAAGGTCTCTGTGATTCCAGTGACATAGTAAAGTACTCTCTCAGTTCTAAGAGGGATGAGGCTAATACCCAAGGCAAGCTGATGGGGAGAGTCTTCTGGTCCCCCCTCAGGAGTCTGGACTTTCCCAAGTCAGAGGAAGGCATAAGGAGGACAGCCAAAAGGTGTCAGGAGAAATGAGGGTTTAACCCATGGGCGTCATCTGAGCAAGTTCACTTGCCTGCCAAAGTGGAAAAACACCAGCAGCTTGAGGGGGGAGGAGTGGGATATGCATACAAACACCCAGGTACACTCTGTTATAGAAACACACATAAGCACCCTCAGACTCTTAACCGTTCATGAAATCAGGCTAACTGGTCTCAGGAAATGAGACATGCATGCACGATTGGCTTTCCTTCTTAAAATAGTTTTTGATGGTTGAGGACAGAGCTTGAGCCAGTCACCCAGCTGCTGAAATGTTGCCTATTTTAAGAAAAATGTCAGCTGCAATTCACACAGTACAGTAGAGAGAACTGAGTTCAAATCCTGCCTCCAAAGCTTATTACCTGAGTGACCTTGGACAAGTCACTGAACTCAGTTCAATGGGCCTCAGCTTCTCTCTCTGTCAAATAAGCAGATTTGGACTAAGTGGTCAGTGAGAACCCTTCCAGCATGAATTGTTATAATCATTTATAAGCCAGAACAATGATTCAAGCAAAAGATCAAGAGTGATTAAAATTAATTAAATTTATTTATTTTAAAATTATTTTTTTTTTTGCTCCACAGAAATTTGCTCTGACCAGAAAGTCATGGGGAGAGAGAAAAGAAAACACACTCTTAAGTATTTCTCAGCCTTTCTTCATTGCACTCCGTTCCTCACCAAGGGCTACACAGGCTCCCTCTGTCCTTGGGGGATTGTGGGAATTGGGCATTAGATGACACTTCCAGCTGAAATGGACTAGGGCTTGGAGGAGCAGTCCCTTCCTGCTTCACAGGAGCAGAAGCATACAGGAATGTGGGAAGCCTTTAGCTGGTGCCTCCTTAAGGAGCAGAAGTGGGCTGGGCAGCCACAGAAAGATAAGAGTTGCCCTTTACTCCTCTGTCCACTGGAACAAGATAAGCATCGTAACATTCAGACATCTTGTCCGCTGATCTCCGCTTTTTCATCATGTCCCAGTGGCTCTCGCTTGACCTCCTCCCTCCCCTCCCAGCCTGTTCCCCTCCTCTTCTTTGGCTTCCCAGCTGTCTCCTTTCTTAGAAGTTAGATAACACCCTAGAGCTATAAAGGAAAGCCCTGGAACTTGGGGTGTGGGTACATGGTGGAGCAGGAGGGGGGAGGGAAATGAGCGATGTTTCACAGCTGGGAGACACCTTTCTTGAATACATGCACTGTGGCTATTGACCTTCTGGCCCCAGTTGCCAAAGACGGAAGACATCTGGTACCTGGGCCAATTGGGGTCCAACTATTTCATTTATTTCTGACCTCCACCCAGCTTCCTTGCACCCCTGCGTGGCATGCCAATGGAATGAGGTGTCCTAGGGCAGAGACCGAGAATGAGGTAATTCTAGCACCTTCCTGTCCAAGATCATGGGCTTGGAGCTACAAGAATATCTAGTCTGGCTCTTTCATGTTACAGAGACAGAAACTGAAGGCCCAGAGTGGTGTAATGACTGGCTTCCCTTTGTCACCTAGGTAGCAAGGGACAGAGCTGGGAGCTGAACTAAGGGGCTCCGACTCGAAATCTGGGGGTATTTTTACTTCACCATAGAATGGGAGACTTCTAAGGGCTAAAAGAAAGCCCCAGTGGCTGTCCCTCTACAAATACAAGGCTTGGAAGGGTTTCTTCAAATCTTTAGTAGTGTTTCTGTCTGCCTAGGCTTGTGCTAGATTGAAATGGCCCTTTAGAACACAGAATTTCACAACTGAGATGGGCCTCAGAACAGGGGATGTTAGGGCTGGGAGGGTCCTCAGAACAGGGGATAGCAGAGCTGGGATGAGCCTTGGAGTAAAGAAAATCAGAACACAAGGAGGACTCAGAGATCTTTCCATCTGCTATCTTCATTTCCCTTTCAGGCAGCCAGCTTGAAGACCGCAGAGCTCAGGTCTCTTCCTCCCACAGTCCACTTCTCCTCCATGCACCTGGTCAGTGAAACTGAGCAGACACATTTTCATTTTTTCATCGATTCCCTCCCACCATTTCTTTTTTTTGGGGGGAGGGGCTGCAATTGGGGGTTAAGTGACTTGCCCAGGGTCACACAGCTAGTAAGTGTCAAGTATTTGGTCTGAGGCCAGATTCCTCCCACCATTTCTGGCCCTGCCCACACGTGGAGGTGGGCAGACCCATAGGCCAAATCATCCCCAAGGCTCTTCCAGCTCTAAAATGACATTTCTATCTACTTCTGAGAGGCTCATCAGGGCCTCGGGGACGATGATCACCTAGAGCTGGAAGGGACCTCAGAGGCCCGGCCAGTTCATTTCTCTCATTTTTGAAGGAATGCCCAGAATCCCAGGGAAAAGATAAGTGACTAGACCCAAGTCACACTGGCAGTAAGTAGCCACCACAGGATTTGAACCTGGCTCCTTCCACATGCACCATGCTTTCCTATGGTCCCTTTTTTTTGGGGGGGAGGGGTGAAGATGGATGAGTGGAGGAGAATGTGAAACATCAGAGGTGGGAAGGAACCTCATTTTACATTTGAGGAAAATGAGGCACAAAGACTTGCCCCAGTTACTTGCCCAAGGTCACATGCAGCCAAAATTCAAATCCAGATTTTCTTACCCCAAACTCAGCATTCTTTCTACTGTCCCAGGCAGACTACTCCTGTCAAGTCCTCCCTAGAGCCCACAATCTACTAATAAATTAAAAGAAATACTATAAAATGACAAGAGTTGGTGGTTCAATGTCCATGGACCCCTCTCCTTCCTTAGTTGAGACTTGGCCTTTCAGCTTCTCTGAAATTGCTGGAATAAAAAGGGATGGAGGAAAAGACTGAATTTAGGTGCTGAAACCCTCCCCAAGGTGTCTATTCAAGGCCTTGTTTAGGGAAAAGCCAGAGAGAGATTTGGGGTAACAGGTATGCACTGACGGTAAATGCCCACATCTGCCTCCTCCCTAATGTGATATCTGCGTCTAAGAGGTTGAATTGCAATGCCTCACCACCTAGTGACTCAGTATTGACACTTTCCCAGTACTATTTGCTTTGGCAGAGCTTCTGACTTGCCTACCTACCTGCTCAGACCAACATCAAGAAGGCCTTTTGGCTATTTCACAACGTGTCCTTCCAAAGCAGGGCACTAGCCTCCCTTGCCCAGGCTTCCCAGCCTACCCCAATCGCCATCGCCCAACACCCTCCCGGCCAATCCACACTTAGGCAGCCCCATTTTACTATCTCCATTGATGATGATTGACAGACTCTTGAATTATGAAAAAGAAGAAAGAGCTTTGGTGGAGACAAAGGTATTTTTATCTGTTTGGGTCCCTGCCCCCACCTTTTGAAAGACTAGGAATGCTTTTACATGCCAAAAAAAATCTATAAAGTCCTCGAAGGAACACTTTTTCTGCTCCTCTCAGCAGCTTGTCCTCAGCTCAGTTCCTCCTTTCAATGGACTTCTGGCTCCTAGCTGTCTGCTGATGGATGGGGAAGATTCGCTACAGAGGTGGCTTGGGGAAGGCAGGAGGAAGGGAGATAGAAGAAGGAGGGACCCATCCTTCCAATACCTATCGCTTCCCCAAACTGGCCTCTCCAGCCTTCTCTTCCTGCATCAGCCAGAATCACAGGCTTTCCATCTGAAGGGACCTCGCAGCACCCCAACCCATACCTAACCAACACTCCCCTTCACAACACCTCTGAGGAGTGGTCATTTGATCTTTGCTTGAAAAACTCGAAGGAAGGGGAAGCTTGCAATCTCCTGAGTCAGTTCATTCAACTTGGAGGTAACTCTCATTGTTAGGAAATGTTTACAATCCAAGTCTGCATCTCTCCTATCCTACTCATGGCTACTGTTCCTGCCCTATACAATCCCTCTGTTGTACTCATTGTCTCCTGAACAGGCCCCCAGAAATCCTGTCTCTGCACCATTGCTCAGACTGTGGCCTCTGCCTGGAGCACCCTCCCAAGCCTACTATCAACTCCCTTAAACCGTCTGAGTGTCAGCTTTTCTATCTGTGAAATAAGGAGGATTGGACTCATTAGGCCCTTATACCACTCCTTCAACCCCACCTCACCCGCCTTCTTCACAAAGTTTTTCCACCAGTCCTCTCATTTCTCATATTCTCAATATCACAGAATTAGAGCTGGAAGGACAGCTAGTGCAATACTCCCATTTTATAGATAAGGAAACTGAGATCCATAGAGGTTAAGTAACTGGCCCAGTATCACATAATTAATCAATATCTGAGGCAAGATTTGAACCCAGGTCTTCCTGATTTCAGATCAATCACTCTACCTGCTACACTGTCTCCTTTGCGCTTAATGACATTTTACCTTTATCATATTTGCTTGTATATAATTCTTATTCCCTCCTTTCAGATCGTAGATCATATATTCAGAGGTAAATGAGACCATGAAAGCAAGGCAAACTAACGCCCCCATTCTACAAATGAAGAAACTGAATCCCAAAGAGGTTGAAAGATTTGCCAAGTAATTATCAAACCCAGGACCAGAACCCAGGTCCGTGAATCCAAAGCCAGTAGTCCGACATTTGTGTGGGGCACTGGAAATGCAAAGAGAAATTAGATCACAGGCCCTGCCCTCAAGGAGCTTACAAATTGGAAGGAGCAGGCTGAGATTGTGGAAAGAATGCTGGCCCTGGGTTCCAGTTCTGTGTCTGAGACAGAGCTAGGTCTAGAGCTATATAGACTAGCTAATCGATATATTGTTAGTGTTAGCACAGGTCGTATGTATGTATGTATGTATGTATACATACACATATATGTTACACATGTGTGTGTTGCATTGTACACACGTGGATTTTGTTGGGGTTTGGCATATTTATGTGTATATTACATATATCAGTATAGTATGTGTATATATGTGTGGATATGTTTCTGAATCAATATTGATTGAATTACACTTAATCCTACATCCATCCAGAAAACTATTTTTTATCACACGGCAGCCTAACTTGCCCACAGGAATTGTATACTTCTGTTTGATTCCTATATGTTGCTGCCAATAGTAATAATAATAATAGCTAGCATCTAAATAGCACCTACTATGTGCCAGGCATTGTACTAAGTACTTTGCAAATATTATCTCACTTGATCTTTGTAACGATCCTGGCAGATAGGTATTATCATCATCCTCATTTTACAGATGAGGGAAACAGAGGCAGGTAGGGGTTAAGTGACTTGCCCAGGGTCACACAGCTAGGAAGTGAGAATATAAGCTTCTTTGTGTGTGTATGTGTGTGTGTGTGTGTATTTTTTTTCCTTCTTAGGCAGTTGGGGTTAAGTGACTTGCCCAGGGTCACACAGCTAGTAAGTGTTATTTGTCTGAGGCAAGATTTGAACTCAGGTCCTCCTGAATCCAGGGCCCGCGCTCTGTCCACAACTCCCTGTATTTTCACTGGCTAACCCCAATCCTCACGCCTGGAATTCTCTCTCTCCCTCCTCATCTTGGTCTCCTGGCTCACCCAGCTTCCTTCAAGTAGGTGCTAAATCTCCACCTTCTTCAAGAAGTCTTTCCCAGTCCTCCTTAACCTTAAAGCCTTTCTTCTGAGGCCACCCACAGTTTATTCCATCTACATCTTGTTTGTACATTCATTGTTTCCATTAGACTGTAAGCGCCTTCAGAGTAGGGACTCGTGTTTTGTTTGCTTGGGGGGAGGAAGGTTAAATTTTTTGGTTTTGGTTTGTTTTCTCTTTTTGCCTTTCTTGTATCCTCAATGCAAGCATATTGCTTAGTACACAGCAGGCACTTAATCAATACTAATTGACTGACTGATCTTTTGCATCTGAAGAGAGAGACCAAAATCACACTCAACCATCTTGACTTTCCTGAGCAAAGGAGGACAAAGAGATTTGGTCTCATTACCTTCAAAGAAACTCTCAAACTGGTTCCCACCTGCTAGGCCCCCGGGACCCCCCCAATAAGCAAGATTCATCAGTCAGATTAAAAGGCCGGGAGGCTGATGGCAGCCACTGATAGGCAACACCAAACACCAGCCTGCTCTGAAGCAATACATCCGGGTATGGGAGGGCGATGGAATATGCCGATAACTGGATGGGAGATGCAAGGTCCTGAGAGGAGAACACAAGGGTGATAAAATGCACCAGCAGGCAGCTGTGTGATGCAAGATAGTGATAGCTACAGGGTGGGATAAACACACTGACCTGCTGGAATGTGCTCTGGCTCACTGATAGCTGGGAACATGATAAAAGACAGCCCTCCCTTGGAGGGATAGGCTGGGCAAAGGCAAGACAACCTGGATGTATATGTGTGCATGTGTATTTGTGAACGCATACATGTAGATGTCTGTGTGGGTGAGCACACTTCTGCTATTAGCTATTACTGCTACATTTCAACCGGCAGTAAGGATTTAGAGTTAGAAGGGACCTCAGAGGTCAGCTAATCCAACCCCCTTCTTTTACAGATGAGGAAATGAGGTCCAGAAGAAGAAGAGACTTGTCCAAAGTTCTCCAGGTAAAAGTAACAGCTGACATTTATATAGCCCTTTGCACACACTATCTCATTTCGGCCTGACAACGACCTTGAGAAGCAAGTACCATAGGTTTGGTTATGCTCATTTTATAAATGAGAAAATTGGCCAAAAGATGAAGTAGCTTGCCAGTGTCACACGTTTAGGCAGCAACAGATCTTATTGACTCAGTCACAGTACTGCCTGCACAGCATGGGAAGAATGTTCAGTGTAGAGTCAGAGCACCTGGGTTTGAATCCTGTCTCTGCCCCTTATTTGGTCAAGAGATTTCATAAGATCAGTGCCTTAGAAATCCTTTAGTCCAACGTCCTCATTTTGCAAAAGAGGAAACCACAGCCCAGATTGGTGACATGATTTGTACAGGGTCATTCAGGTAGTAAAGGACAGAGCCAGGATTTGAACTGGGGTTCTCTGACTCCAAATCCAGTGCTTTCAATAAGAAGATAGGACAAGATGACATCCAAGGTCCCTTCCAGGTTTAACTCTGTAATCACTACGTCATGCAACAAGAGGCAGAACTGGAACTCAATACTAGGACTGGGCTCCAGCACCAGTCCTCTTTGCAATAGGGCTCCAGAGATGCCCAAGGTCAAGACTCAAATTCAGGTCTCTTGACTCCAAATCCAGAGTTATTTCCACTCTGCTCTCACTGGGTCTTTAAAACCCAAATTTTTCCATGAGATATCTATGTCCATTAACCAACCTCTGCAAACACAAGTGGAAGAGACAAGAGTATGGGCTGAAATGTTCCCTTTGACCCTGCCATGTGTAACAAATCTGTGTGCCTTAAGAATAGAGGGAGGGGCAGCTAGGTGGTGCAGTGGGTAGAACACTAGCCCTGGATTCAGGAGGACCTGAGTTTAAATCCAGCCTCAGAAACATAACACTTACCAGCTCTGTGACCCTGGGCAAGTCACTTAACCTCATTGCCTAACCAAAAAAATATATAAATAAATGAAATTTAAAAAAAAATTTAAAAAAGGATAGAGGGAGAATTTTTTAAGGATCAGCAGTGAATTTACTCAATGGTCCCTGGAATAATTTACACCCCAAACACTTTTCCCTTGGAAAGGGAAGATGGAGAGGAAATGATAGAGTGGACTAGTAATAGTCTGAACCTTGGGAATCTAATTCCCCTTCCCCCAATACCCTGAGCTTTTCCCTGGCCAGCTTTGTCAAGGGCTGTACTTAATCAGAACAAGTGGCATGAGGCAGAAAGTCACGATAAAATCAGCATGAGTCTCATTTGTGGGACAAGTTGCATCCTATCTCTGGGTCTCATCTGTAAAAAGGTATTGGGCTAGATCAGGGAGTTGTTAACCTTTGTTTTATCATGGCCCCCTTTGGCAGTCTATGGACTCCTCAAAACAATGTTTTAAAGTACATAAAATAAAATATATAGCATTATAAAATATAAATATTAGAATACAGTTATCAAGATAATAAAAAGGCAAATTCACACACCCCAGGTTGAGAAGCCCTGCCCTGGATGGTCTCTAAAGCTCATCCCATCTCTGCCTTCCAATGATTCTATGAATGTTTTGCCAACGTTTGAATGTTTAACCTGGAACCTAGAAGGGAAGTGATGGCTGCCTTCAAGTATTTGGGTTCTTTTCGCTGGCTGGTTGGTTGGTTTTAGACTGGGTCTCCCTATCTCACCCAGGCTGGAAGTACAGCTGCTAATCACAGGCCTGATCCCACTACTAATCAGCATGGGAACTTATACTGCTCCATTTTCTTCAAACACAGCGAATTCACCCTTGCTTAGGTAGCCTGGTCCCACTCCTCTCTTCCTGGGGGCTCACTATATTAAGGTCAAACATTGTGGGTTCTCGACAGGCTTAGCCCACTACAGTTTGGAACTCTTAAGCTCAAAAAAACCACCAGCCTCAGCTTCCCCCAATAGAAGGGATTGTATGCCTGTCTTCCAGTATTTGAAAGGCTATGGCATGAAGGAAGGATCAGATTTGTTGTGCTTGGCCTGGATCATAGTACCAGGAACGAGGCATAGAAATTTCCAAGAGGCAAATTAGGGCTAGTTGTGAGGGAAAATATATATATTATATAATTAATATATTTTGATAACTATTTCAATGTGATTGATTTCTTTTTTATTCTCATGCATTTTATTTTATGTATTTAAAGACATTATTCTGAGAAGGTATCTGTGGGCTTCACCAGTCTGCTAAGAGGTGAAGAACGCCTGCTTTAGAGAAAGTTCACTGAATAATGGGCTAACCTCCAAAGGAGGATTTTTTTTTTTTTGGCTCTAATTCCAACTGGCTTCTTTTTTAAAAATTTATTTAGTATTTTATTTTTTCCCAGTTACATGTAAAAACAATTTTAACATTCGTTTTTAAAACTTTGAGTTCCAAATTCTCTCCCTTCCTCCCTTCTCCCCACCCCCAACCCCATCAAGAAGGCAAGCAATTCAGTATAGATTATACATGTGTAGTCAAGAAAAACATTTCCATATCAGTCTTATTATGAAAGAAAACATATTCTGGAAAAAAAAACCCTGAGAAACATAAAGAAAGTAAAAAAGATATGTTTCAATCTGTATTCAGACACCATTAGTTCCTTCTCTGGGGATGGACAGCATTTTTTCATAATAAGTCCTTCAGAGTTGTCTTGGATCATTGTATTGCTAAGAATAGCTAAGTCATTCACAGCTGATCATCTTACAATATTGCTGTTACTTTGTACAAAGTACGCTTCACTTTGCATCAGCTCATATAAGTCTTCTCCAGGTTTTTTTGAGAGCATCCTGCTCATCATTTCTTATAGCACAATAATATTCCATCACAATCACATGCCACAATTTGTTCAACCATTCCCCAATTAATGAGCATCCCCTCAATTTCCAATTCTTTGCTACCAGAAAAGAGCTGCTATAAGTATTTTTGTACATATAAGGTTTTTTTTTTTCCTTTTTTTAAAATCCCTTTTGGGATACAGACCTGGTAGTGGTATTGCTAGGTCAAAAGATATGCATGGTTTTATAGCCATTTGGGCATAGTTCCAAATTGCTGTACAGAATGGCTGAATCAGTTTACAACTCCACCAACAGTGCATTAATGTCTCATTTCCCCCAATCTCTTCCCCATTTGTCATTTTTTTCTTTTCTATCCTATTAACCAATCTAATAGGAAGGAGGTAGTACTCAAAATTGTTTTAATTAGCATTTCTCCAATCAATAGTGAATTAGAGTATTTTTTTTCATATGGCCATAGATACTTTGATTACTTTATCTGAAAACTGTTCATATCTTTTGATCACTCATCAATTGGGGAATGGTTCCTATTTTTATAAATTTGACTCAATTCTCCACATGTTTGAGAAATGAGGCCTTTATCAGAGAACTTGCTTCAGAAATTTTTAACCCTTACTCTTGCTAACTGTATTCCCCTCCATCCTATTTCTCCACTCTGCTTATCCTATACTTTCTCTCCTTTTACCCTGTCCCTCCTCAAAAGTGTCTTGCCTCTGACTACCCCCTCCCCCAATTTGCCCTCCCTTCTATCATCCCCCTTCTTTTATCTCCCTCCCTGTAGCGTAAGATAGATTTCTATAACCAACTGAGAATGTAAGTTATTCCCTCTGTGAGTCAATTCTGATGAGAGTAAGGTTATTTTCATTAGTATTTTTGTGTCTCCTTTACCAAACATTGACTTGTTTTTCATGATTTTCTTACATCACTCTCATTTCTCTTCCAAATTTTTCCTCTACTTCTCTTACTTGGTTTTCAAAATCCTTTTTGAGCTCTTCCATGGACCCGAGAGCGATACATATTTTTCTTGGAGGCTTTAGATGTGGGAGCTTTGACTTTGCTGTCTTCTTCTGAGTGTGTTTTGATCTTCCTTGTTCCCATAGTAACTTTCTATAGTCAGAATTTTTTTTCTGTTATTTACTCATTTTCCCAGCCTATTTCTTGACTTTTAACTCTTTGTTAAAGTAGGGCTTTGCTTCCAGGGTAAAGGGAACATTGTTCCAAACTTCAGTTTGTGTGTGTGTGTGTGTGTGTGTGTGTGTGTGTGTGTGTGTGTGTGTATCTGTTTTCAGAGATACTTCTAGGGACCTGTAAGCTTTCAGTTCTTCTAAAGTGGTATGATATAAGGAGAGCTATGTTTACTCCTCTCCTGGCCTATGCTCTAGTCTGTGAGTGACCACAAGCACTCTGTTCTGCCCTGGAACTGTGATGAGGGTTCCTGCTTCACTATGGCCACAAGCTCTAATGCACTAGTGCTCCTTCTCACTCTGGAACTGCCACCCAGGACTGCGAACTGGATCTGAGGATTGGCAAAGCAACAGAGTCCTGGCCCCAGGGCCAGCAAAGAGACCCCTGTAATCTCTTTCTGACTAGTTGTTTGACTCCCTTACCATCTATGGGCTAAGAGCTCTGGAAGCAGCTGCTGCCCCTGCCGATTCATTGGCTCCCAAGGCCTGCTCCTGGTTTGCTGGAACTGGTGCTGGTGCAGCCTGCACTGGACTGTGCTCCACTCTCACCCATGTGTGACAGACCTTTCCTGCTGATCTTCTAAGTTGCCTTTGGCTGGAAAATTATTTCGCCCTATTGTTTTGTGGGCTCTGCTGCTCTAGGAACTGTTTTATGGCATTATTTAAAGGTGTTTGGAGGTGTTTGGGAAGGGCTCAGGCGAATCACTGACTTTTCTCTGCCATCTTGGTTCTGCCCTCTCCAATGGAGAATTTGTGGGAGCATTTGGGCAAGAATTCTATAGGATGAGAAGGTGCGGAGGCCTTGAAATCTGCACCAGTGGAGAGAATGACCACATCCATGGGATCGTTGATCTCTTAGAATGTAAGCCCCTTGAAGGCAGGGATAGTTTTCTCTTTTTCTTTGTAATTAGTGCTTGGCACAGTTTCTGACACACAATAAGAGTGCAAAGACCCAAAGACAGATTCAAGGTTATATAAGGAGGCCAGAACTAGATCTAACCATACCGAAGGGGACTTTCATGAATAACCCCATGAAGGGGCAAAAAGGAATCCCAAGAGTCAATATCTTTCAGTTATCTTCCATTTGTCACATGCGCTCTAGGCTTGACTCTACTTTCCCATGGATTCTGTGTGAACCTGTGGGAGAGTGTGTCACAGGCTTTTTTTGAGGGAGCGAAGAATGGTTTATACCAGCTATACAGCATACAACTATACAACCAGCTATACACCATAGTAAATACCCAGTGCTAAAAAGCTAATTGTTTGGTTGATTAATTGATATGAAAAGATAATTATAGGCCCAGCTAGGTGGTGCAGTGGATAGAGCACCAGCCCTGGATTCAGGAGGACCTGAGTTCAAATCCAGCCTCAGACACATAACACGTACTAGCTGTGTTACCCTGGACAAGTCACTTAACCTCATTGCCTAAAAAAATTTTTAAAAAAAGGTAATTATGGAGGAAGCTCACCAATGGAGTTCATGGTCTATAGCACCAGGAAGACAACCCTACTACACCCTTCAGAAGATGGTTCATAGGCTGAGTTTTGAAGGGATTCAGGGGCTCTAGGAGGCAGAAGGCAGGTGAGGAGGGACAGCTTTCTACACATGTACATGGAATATGTCACCTGCTTTGGTATCGTTGCCTCCTAGAACCCACTATTAGGGAGTTAGAAGGCCTGAGTTTGGAATTTGATTCATTCACTGACTGATTTTCAACTTCTCCCTTCACTTCTCAGGATTTCAACTTCCTTCTCCATAAAATTCAGCTCTGGACTAGATTCTTTCCAGATCTAGTATTCTACAAAAAAAGGCCTTTTCTTGTTATAAGTGTGCGTGTGTGTGTGTGTGTGTGTGTGTGTGTGTGTGTGTGTGTGTATTAGCTTTATATTTATACCATACGTTTGACTAACTGGCCATTGTCTTCTCCATTAGAATATGTTTCTTTTGAATAGAGATTATTTTATTCTTGATATCTACCCCAAGCTCAGACCATGGCAGAGTGATTGTTTGCTTCTTTGCATTTATGTCCCCAGACTCTGCTGTCCTCAGATCATGGCAGATTAATTGTAGCGTAGTAGGTGCTTAATAAATATTTGTTAGTTGATTGATTGTAATATCTGCTATGCATTGGCTTTTTGAAGAAGTACCCACGCATCCTTGGCAAACTTGGGCCTCATTACCAATATCTCTTGGCTCCATTCCTGTCCTGGTATTCCTACTGCCATGGAACAGGTACACCAAGTTAACATAATACAATCAGAAGAACTAGATCTGGAGTCAAAAGACATGGATTCAAATCCCGACTCTGTTATCTGCCAGATGTTTGACTTCAAGTCACAATCTCTTCAGGCCACAGTTTCCTTTAAAAATGGGATAAGTGGACTAAATCAAGAGTTCTTAACCTAGTATCTGAGAACTTAAAAAAATATTTTGATAACTATTTCAATGTAATTGGTTTCCTTTGTGATCTTATGTCTTTTTTACATATTTAAAATACTTTTCTGAGAAGGGGTCGATAAGTTTCATGAGCCTGGCCCAAGGACACATAAAAGTGTTAAGAACCCCTAATTGAGATATTAGGTAATGTTCCATCCAGCCCTGAATCCTAGGATGGCTACTTAAGCTAAAGTCAGGAGGGGGAAGGAACTCCAAATCTCTGTGTACATCTAGTCTGTTGTCACCAAAATGGGTTCACCAGAAGCCTCTAGGATCAGCTTCTTCCTCACCAGGAGCCTCCAAGATCCTGCACTCACTTCCTGTCTTAAGTAGTGAAAGCACCAGGAAAGCCGGCTGTGGGCCCAATATAGTCTCAGATCTAAATTTAACATGGCTCCAGTCTGACCCTACAGAGAAGAGATGTTTAAAAAAGAAAAGCAATTCTTCACCAATTAGGACAACAATAAAGGTCTCTTTCAAGTGTCAAGGCATATTCTTAGCAAGAGAGTAACACCTACATGAAACCCAAGGCGGTGGAAAACACATAATACCAGGAAGTTAGCATACAGGGCTGACTTCCTTCTGAGCAACTAAAGGCTCTATGTAGAAAAGGGTAGGAGGGAGAGGGAGGAGGCCAGCAGGGGAGGAGGAGGGAGGCTTGGCTGATCCTCTGGAGCAAGAAAATACCCCTACTGGTCATCAATAATAACCATAATCATCACTATAATAACTGGCATTTTTATGGTGCAAATGAGCACTGATCTCATGTACCTACCAGTGCCCTGTACATAGTAGGTGTTTAATAAATGCTTAATAAATGTTTGGTTGACTGAATCTGCTTCATGCATCCAACAAGCTTTTAAGCACATTTTGTGCACCAGGCACTATGCTGGTTTCTGGGGGTTTAAAAAAAGTAGCATCTGGCCTCCATGAAGGGGAAAAGGGTTGGTGGGATATCATGTACATAGAAAATTAAACATAATATACAGCTAGGTCTTGATTAGTGCAAATAGTGACTCCCCATGAAGTGATTGGATTATTCAGATTCAAACTCTTCAAAGTCTTACTGTGTAAGATATGGTAATTGGTTGGATCCAAGTAATGTAATCACTTCAGGTGGGATTAAATGCATATACAAACCTAGTATATTATAATGCAGAGATACAGACCACATGTAACACACAGCACTCCCAAGAGGGTCTGAACCAAGTTAAAATGTAAGTGGGAAGTATTTACCAAAATAAATAAAAACAGAATCAAAACAGATAATATTTAAATTGAAAACTACTTCAAAACTTACATCTCAGGAGTACCTTCTGCCCCTCTGATTGACCCTTTGGCTGGAAGGGAGGGGCACAGGGTCCACGGTCTCTATTTCTGAGAGTTCAATCCAGTTTTTCTCCCCATTTCCCTCCAGTACACACACCCCTCACACACTTTTCAGCTTTCTTTTGTGTATCTTTCTTCATTAGAATGTAAGGTCCTTGAGGACAGGGACTGTCTTTGTTTTCATCTGTGTCCCTTAGCACAGTGCCTGCCACATAATAGGTACTTAGTAAATGCTTATTGACTGACTTAATGATCTGCAAGGATCTTTCTGTTCAGGTTAGTGGCTTCCATATCTTTTTGAATTTGATTCAATTAGTGCAATGAATAGAGAAAATGTGGAAGTCAAGAAGACCTGGGTTTCAGCCTCTGACACATCCTGACTGTATGATATCAAGTCAATCCAACTCTTTATAAGTTTCAGTAAAGGTGCTAGTCTGTCTTGATAGATGGTTTCCTTACCTTACTAGGGAAATCCAGGAACAGTTCCTGTGCCCCATATTCAAAGTCATTGCCAAAGGGGTGGATGCTAGCAACTGGGGGGATCAGAACAGGCTTCTGTAGAGAGGTTCAGGATTCTAAGAGGAGGCTTTTGCAAAGCCACAGAGGTGAGTGATAGAAGGCTGGGAGGGAGAGTGGACAAGCCTGTTTAGCTGGAACACAGAATGTGTGAAGGAAAGTAATGAGAAAATGATTGTAAAATCCAAGGTAAATCGTGAGGGATTTTATGAGCCAGGCAGAGAAGCTGGTGATTGATTCTAAAGTCAACAGGGATCCATGGGAACTTCTTGAGTAGGGCCATGACATGGCCAGAATGGTGCTTTAGGAATGTCACTGTGGTTACTGGAAGGGCTTGGAGAAAGCTAGAAGCCAGGTGACCACTTAGGAAAATAGTCTGGGGGAGAGATGATAACAAAGACTTGAACCAGGGTGAAGGCTCTATGAGTAGAAGGAAAGAAACCTTGTGAGATGTATGATGGAGGAAGGATGAAGGAAACTTGGCAGCTGATTGGATAGGTGGAGTGAGGGAGAGGGAGGGGAAGGGGACTTCAAAGCGGCCAACCTAGGAGGTACTGTGAACAGAAATGGGGAAATGAGGAAGAGTCACAAGTTGTGGGGAGGGGGGGAATGAGAATGATTATTTTTGTTTTCAGGTCTCATTGAGTTTCTTATTCCAGTGCAACAATTGCAAACGTCCTGTGGCCCACAGTGAAACAGGAATGGAATTCAAGTGCAAGACAGGGGCCCATGTCTGTAGAGCTGAGAGTCATCTGCATAGAGGTAGTGGTTGAACTCATGGATGCTTCTGAGACCACCAAGAAAGAATGAAAAGAGGTCCTAAGCCCTTGAGGAGCATCTACTCTTGGGAGCTCAGAATGAGGATGATGGTCCAGCCAAGGAAACTGAGAAGGAATGACCTCACCACAACCCTGTGAGGCATGTTTTGTAGGTAGTATTATGTCCATTTTTCAGAAAAGTAAGCTGAGACTCAAGGTGGTTAAGTGACTTGCTCAAAATCATACAGATAGTAAGCACCAGAGGAAGGATTGGAATCCATCTGTTCTGACTGCAGAGGGACTGTTCTTTCTATGGTAACCAAAGTTCCTAGGGCTCAGTGAATGACACTCACATTGAACCCAACTGGCTTGAGTCTCCACTTCACACTGGAACAGCCTTTTTTTTTTGTTCTTGCCTGCTGCTATTTCCTGAAGGCAGTCCCCTTCCTCCCCCCAAGAGAAGTCCAAGTTCAAACCATACTCCAGAAATCCACAGGCCAGCCTACACAGGGTGAAAGAGTGATAGCACGGAACCAAAAATAGCCTCTTCCGATGGGTAATTATTACCAATGGGAGGAGGGCTGTGCTGGCTAACTGGCTTTATTTAAGTAGGTTAAAGTTACACCTGACTCCTCCTTTCCTGTCCTCCTCCAACACAAGGCACACAGCACACAGCCCAAGTCATCACCTCCCCCTTTGAGGTCGTAAATCCATGAATTATATCACATCCATCAGCGTCCTAAACTGAAGGACATCCCTGCTGGGACACTTTGATAGGGAAAGTGTGAAGAACAAAGCCCATTGTTAGCAGGGAAGGCGCTGGTGCCACTTAGACCCCCGACAGCCTTCCCAAGGGTGAAGTCCTGCTACACAATGATGAAATCACGTCTGTTTACCTGAACTAGATGAGGTTGCCAAGTGGGGAAACAATGACAGCACGGATCTGGGGGCTTGAGTCACTCCCGCCCACTTCTTCTTTCAGGTTGTTGTAAACTTACTCATTTCCCTATTCCCAATAAGATCCACAGTATCATGCCTCATGTTATAACCAGAGGAGACTCAGCCAGGCCTCCCATTGTACATCGAAGGAAACCGAGGCCCAGAAAGCGCCCAGAAGAGAAGAGATTTAGGGCCAGGAGACGCCTGAGAGGACTGAAGATTTTAGAAAAAACCTTAGAAGCAGTGTAGTTCAGACCCCTTATTCTACCGATGAAATAAAACTAAGGCCCTGAGAGATTCAGCGTAACACCAATCAATCGACAATGATTTATTAAGCTCTTACTATCTGCTAGGCACTAAATAGGGATACAAAGAAAAAGAATGAAACCATCCATGTTCTCAATGAGCTCACAGAATAAGGACCAAGTATTTAGATATGGCAGCCAGAAGGCATAGCAAACAGAACTTAGGACCTGGAGTCAGAAAAACTGTGTTGAAATCTAGCCTCAGACACTTACTAGCTGTGCTGTCCTGGGCTAGTTATATAACTTCTGTCTGATTCAGTTTCCTTATCTGTAAAATGGGAATAACAATAGTACCTACCTCCCAGACTCAGTTTCCTCATCTGTAAAATGGGAATATTAATAATAAGACCCACCTTTTAGGGTTGTTGTGAGGATCAAATGAGATAATATTTGTAAAATATTTTGCAAACCTCAAAGCACTATATAAATGCTAGCTATTATTATAGAATATAAATACAAATAAACACTAAGTGTTTAAACATAGGGAGGGAGGGTAATAGTAGCTGGAGGGAGCAAAAATAGCTTCCTGTGTAGAAGGTGGGGTTTGAGTTGTGTTGTGAAGGGAAAGAGGGATCCCAACAGGTGGCTGTGAGGAGGTGGTCCAGCCCTGGCACAGGAGACTGTCAACACCAAGATACTCAGGTCCTCCCAACTTCAAATCCAACTTTCCTTGCACACTAACACATTGTCTTCCTGGAGCTATTCAAGACCACCTGTCCACCCCTATTCAACAAAGGAAGAAATTGAGGCCCACAGACCTTAAGGAACTCATCCAAGTTAACATTAATGAGGAGTAGCACAACCAGGATTTTACCCACCTCTTTGGACCCCCAAATTTGGATTTCTTTCTACTGCACCAAGTAGAAAATGGCCAGGCTAATTTTTGGCTCTGACCAGGACTAGAACCCTAGTTTCCTGGCTCAGGACCAGGGCTCCTTCCACTTATCAATTTCAGTTCATTTAACATTTAAGGGGCAGCTAGTGGTGCAGTGGAGAAAGGACTGACCCTGAAGTCAGTAGGACCTGAGTTCAAAATCTGGATAGCTGTGTGACCCTGGGCAAGTCATGTAACCCCAATTGCCTTAAAAAAAAAAAAAGGAAAAAATGTTTAAAAATAAAAACAAAAACAAAAACATTTAAGCACCAACTGGGTACCATATCTGTATGCTTAGTGTTCAGGAAACAAAGGCAAAAACAAAACACTCCTTAGCTCTCAAAGGAGTGAATTCTACTGGAGTAGGGGTGGAGGGGGGAGGAGCAATTTGTACACATAATTAATTCAATTCAGTTCAACAGAGATTTGAAAGCAAATAAGACAACATGTAGACAGTTTTGAAAACCTGAAAGCTCTATATAAATGCTAGTTATTTTGCTGTTGTTATTATTACTTTTAAAAAATATTTTATTTTCCCCAATTACATGTTAAAACAATTTTTAAACATTTTAACAAAAAATACATCTTTAAACAGAAATTTTTTTAGCAGAAAAATATTTTTCACATTTCAACATAAAATAAATTTTTAATATTTGGCTTTTTTAAAGTTTTGAGTTCCAAATTTTATCCCTCCATCCCTCCCTCCCTCCCCTCTCTCCTCCCAGAAAAGGTAAGCAATCCAGTATAGGTTCTTATTGTTATTCTTTGTTGCTGTTCAATTGTTTTGATCATATCCAACTCTTCATGTCCCCATTTGGGGTGTTCTTGGCAGAAATAATGAAGTGGTTTGCCATTTCCTTCTCCAGCTCATTTTACAGATGAAGAAACTGAGATAAACCGGGTGAAGTGACTTGCTTAAGGGTCACATGGCTAGTAAGTGTCTGAGGCCAGATTTTACCATGAAGATGAATCTTCCTCATTCCAAGCCCAGTGCTTTATGCACTATGGTGTTACCTAGCTGCTGCTGCTATTACCATCATCATTGTCATCATTAAGCACCTCCTTTGGGTAGGCTACCATGGGCATTCAGATTTTCATTGATTAAGGCCACATCTACACAGAACACAAAATCTGAATGAAAAGGTTTTCTTCAAAATTATAGTCTATGGTCCTTTGTACTATATGATATGCATCTAAATAGTGGAGAACATCTGAATAGATGGGAATGGAGATAAAAACAACCAAACTCCAGCCCAAGGAGACAAGCCTCATAAACTGATGACATATTTTCTGCACCTCCCTTCCTTTTGCCCATTTCAGTACAGTGTCTGCTGAAAAAAAAAATCAATCCCCTGTCTCCACAGCTTCAATGTCTCACTAAAAATCAGTGAGTCACCACTCAAAGAAGCAACAATAGATAGTGTGAAACTACAGGGGAGCAATTGGATCTGATCCAAATGTTCACTATGCAATCTCCATTTCTCCCCCTGCTCCAACTTTTTCTTAAAGTTTTGGACCAAGTTCAATATCTTCTCTGTCTTTCAGAAACAAGCAACCCTTTCCATCCTGGACACTTTTGTGTCTTAAAGTTCTAAGCATGAGTGGAAGAAGGAAAGGAGGGAAGGAAGGAAGGAAGGAAGGAAGGAAGGAAGGAAGGAAGGAAGGAAGGAAGGAAGGGAGGGAGGGAGGGAGGAAGTGAGGGAGGGAGGAAAAGGAGATAGGGAAAGAAAAGAGAGAAAGAAAAATACAGAGAAAGAAAGAGGAAAGAAGGAAAAGAGGAGAGAGGAAGGGAAGAGAAGAAAGGAAGGAATGGAAAGGAGAAAGGAAGGAAGGAAGAGAGAAAGGGAAGAAAGGAAGGACAGAAAGAGGGAGGAGAGAAATAGGGAAAGAAGAAAGAGAAAGAAAGAGAGAAAGAAAGAAAAAAAGAAAGAGGAGAGAAGAAGGAAAGGTAAGGGAAGAAAAAAGGAAAGGAATGGAAAGGAAAGGAAAAAAAGAAGGAAGGAAGGACACATTAGGAAGCTTCACATTTTAGTATTTGGGACCCATTCTTAAAGGAATCTAGGGAGATAAGGTGTAAAACCGAGGGGACCACTGAGGTCCCAGAACTGAAAGTTGGACAGTGGTTAGCTTTTCCAACCCATACCCAGAAAAGGACACCTCCTATGATGCAAGCAATAAGAGGTCCTACAGTCTGTTACTGAAGACCTCTTATGAGGAAGCTCTCACTCTGTCCCAAGCAATCTCATTCTCACTTCTGGACAGCTCTAATTGTTAGAAAGTGTGTTTTGTTTTGTTTTTCCTTTTACCAAAACTGAAATTTTCTTCTTTGAAAATTTCCCCCTGTTGCCATTGTCCCTGGTTCTCTCCTGTGGGACAAGTGCCTCATTTCATGAATGAGCAGACTGAAGCCCAGAAAAGATAAGCAATTTGTCCGGAAGCACCAACAAATTATGAACCGGAGCCAGGAGGCAAAGCTAGATCTTCTGACTCCATATCCCTCGTTCCTCCGAAGCTCGACCAGCTCTTCTTATGGTCTGGGCACTGATTAAACACCTCTTCCAGGCATAGAGCTTTCTGGGAGTCTCAGCAGCTTGGACAGAGCTTCTGACTGAGCGGGACTAATAGTGAAAGACAGGAGCAATGGGCATGTGGGTAAAGGCAGGGAGGACAGATGGTGCACATTTAGAATGGGATGTGAGGCAAAGGGCAGAGTAAAGAGGGCTTGAGCTGAGCTCTTCTATGGTCCCATTTTGCCAATACCAGGAGACTTCTTGGGCTTTTCAAAGCATTTGAAAACCGTCCTTATAGGAAGTGTGGACCAGTGAGGGTGTTCAACTGAGAACTGCAGAGGAGCAAATTCAAGTCATATTTGACCTTCCTGTCGATGCAACTAGATGGTACAGTGGATAGAGTACTATCTGGGGGGTTGGCAAGATCCGAGGTCAAATCCTGCTTCAGATCCTTACTAGCTGTGTGATATTGGGCAGTTCATTTGGCTTTTTAAACCTCAGTATTCTGCTCTGCAAAATGGGGATAATAATAGCAACTATCTCCCAGAGTTGTTGGTGACTTGTTCATCTGCAAGGTGTGAGCAGCCCCCTTTACCCCATGGCTAGCCTATCAGATCTGGGAGGCCTGGCTGCAGTAGTAGTGTTTGGGGGGCATTATGAAGGGAAGAGATGGCTCCTTGCCCTACTTCTTCCTCCCTAGTCCCAACCAAGGCCCGCCAGGGGATCACAGGTAGCCAAGAAGCAAAGGAAGGAAAAAAATAAGAATGGGAAAATAAGAGAGTGTGGGGAGAGGTTAGAGAATGGAAATCAGAGGGAGAGGAGAGGGGGGAGTAGGGGAGAGTAGTACTTACTATGTATATGTTTTCCTAATCCCCCCAGCTGCTAAAAGTGTTATAGAGCTCTGTACTTACAGTCAGGAAGACCCAAGTTCAAATATCACCTCAGATCCTTATTAACTATGTCAATCAGTCAGTCAATTAGCATTTATCAAGCACCTACTATGCGCCAGGCATATGCTAAATACTGAGGATAGGTACAAATCCTTGTTCTCAAAGAGCCAATGAAAATTCCCAGAGTCAGGAGACAAAAGAACAGCCAAGAGGCCAGTGTCACCAGATTTCAGAGGACATAGTGATGGTTATGGGGAAGGCGAGTAAGGTGTGAGGTGTAAGAAGACTGGAAATGTGCATGTGAGGGTCAGTTAGAAAGGGCTTTGAATGCCAGAGGAGTTTATATTTGATCCTGGAGGTGATAGGGAGCCACTGTAATTGATTGAATCGGGGAGGGTGGTGACATGGTCAGACTTGTGCTTTGGAAAAATTAATTGGCAACTAAGTGGAGGATGGGCTGGAGCTGAGAGACACTTGTGGCAAGGAGATCTATCAGAAGGCTGTTGGAATAGTCCAGGCATGAGGTGATGAAGTCCTATATGAGGATAGTGGCAGTGTCAGAGGAGAGAAGTGGGTGCTTATATTACGAAGGTAGAAAGGACAGGAATTAACCACTTACTGGAAGGGGGGCAGTGAGGCAGAGTGAGAATTCAAGAATGATACCAAGGTTCCAAGCCTAGGTGACTGGAAAGATGTATTTGTAGGCATCACTGATCTTGCCAGCAGGAAGCCCAGCTTCCCATACAATAACAGGGAAATTAAGAAGAAGGGAGGGTTTGGGAGGAAAAATGAGTTCAATTTTGACAGGTTGAGTTGAACATACCTAATATACATCACATTTGAGATGGCCAAAATGTAGCTGAAGATATGGGGCTAGAAACAGGGAAGAGAGTTTTGAGCTAGACAAGCAGATCCAAGAGGTATTGGTATGGAGATGATGATTAAAACCATAAGAGCTAATGAGAACGTCAAGTAAAACAGTAGAGAGAAGGCTCAGGACAAAGCTGTGAGGATGAAGACCCAGCAAAGCAGACATAGTAGGAGTGGTCAGACAGGTAGGACAGAACAGAGCAAACAAGGAAAAAAATGGTGGTGGTAAGAAACACTGGAAAGGGTTATGGACAAGAAGTAGCTTCAGCTCACTTCCACCATCATCCATATGGCCACCAGTATGGCAGCTGCTAGTGCTACAGTCCCCTGTGTGTGGCTTTCAGCATCCTGGTCAGTTTCTTCTCCATCTGTCTTCTAGTAGATCTGCACTCACATCCCCAGCTGCAATGGAAGAATCATACCACCTCCTTCATATTGGATTCTGAGCCAGTCATAAACCTCCCATGAGCCACACATGCTGTGGTCATCACTGCTTGACTTACGCTTGCATATTTTAAAGTGTGGTTCTTTTGAGTAATAACTGAGAACCAGTGTTCACAAGAGGGCTGCCAGCATCTAAAAACAGAGTTTAAGAAATATCCACAGGCCTGAATTGACGTGAGAGCATTCTGATCCCTCATAATTCCAAACACAAGCTTCTTCATGGGAGCTGGGCGCTTCCTGCTGGCAAGATCAGTGATGCCTACAAAACAGAATGCCTGTGCTCCAGGAAGGGGCAGATGTTAGGCACAGATGCTAGATCTGGTGTCCTCTGCTGTCTCCCCAAGATCCTCATCTCTACTATTTCCATTCTTCACAGCCCAAGAATTGATTCTGTTTCTTCCTCTCTGGGCCCTAGCATGTCAGAGCCCCCTTTGTTTCCAAACACAGGCTTCCTTCTGTGTTTTTCATGGAAAAGAGACCCACAGTCATTATTGCATTGTGTTCCTGCCTTAGAGAGAGCATTGCCATTTAGCCAACATCAAAGTGCAGGCAGTGATCAACTCATTTATACAAGTCCCACCCAGATCTTCTTACAATCAGGAAATGGGGAATTTCCTTGGCTTTTTAAACCATCTCAGAGAGTTTCAGCCACATGGCTTCCTTTGTACACTGTCCTCAAAACACAGAGGATAAAATCAGTCTTCTTTTTTCACTGCGTGTCCCTCTATAAGGCTGAGTCTTTTAACTTCTCCTGATTGTTTGTCCGGTTATTCAAAAACAGGACAGGGATAGTCCCTTGAACATGTCAAAGAGCTGTGATGTCATTGGGGAAAGGACTCCTTCCACTGATTTCTATTGAATTCTTCTTGTTGGTGCTTCCCACTTCCTAGTGTTGACATAAGGACAAGACTTTATAAACCTTAAAGCAGAGATCCTTAACCTTTTTGTTTGTCATAGACCCCTTGGAAAAGGCAAGAGAAGCTTATGAAGGAAACCAAGTACAATGACATTTGATTAACCAAAAAGAAGTTACCAGACCCCAGGTTAAAAAATTCTTACCTACAGTATTGTTAAATGTTGACTAGTCATAGTAGAAGCAGCTGTGGAATCCATTTTTTCAGCTTGTGCTGCCTACTGGTGCCTGCTATATACTTTGTAGGTGCCCATTTGCCAAATCCAATGGCTTTTCCTCAATCCTCATTCTTCTTGACCCCCCTGTAGCCTTCGACCCCATTGGTCACTCCTCCTTGATCTTCCCTTCTCTCTAGGTTTTCAGGACACCCTTCTCTCCTGGTTCTCTTCCTACCTATCTGACTGCTCCTTCTTAGTTTCCTTTGCTGGATCTTCACCCAAGACCTACCGTCTG